TGTAAACATTATATGCAAAGCATGGGATCAACTCCTCATCCTATACAATGGAGTGGTGTGGTTTAATCCACGAGATAAACCCGTGGTTTGGACCAATCCATGAGATAGCATAGATCGATCCACACCATGAGCCAATTGAACGTCCTAAGCAGCCGTTGTGTAGACCAAAACACAAAATCTCGTGGTCGTTCCATGAAACCGAACACCACCTCAATCTCATAGGGACCAGAAGTCCAAAACACAATGAGAGTTTTTAAACCAAAGGATACTCTTCTTTTTTGCGACATCTATTAAAAGCAAACATTAGAAAAAAATGTGTTGTGATCTATATGAGAGATCCATGAAACTCTTGAGTGTTGGTGCTTGTATATTTCTTCTTTGTGTAATAGGTGTTCCATTTCGGTTCTGATCATCTGTTCTTTTCCTATATGATTCCTGTTTCATCAWTTTGTTCTGTTTAACTTCGTATCATTATTAAATTATTGGCACTTAAATAATTTTTTTACCATTTCTACCTTTATCATTTTGATACACTCAATATCCTTCCCACATTAGAACAATTTAGAACAAAAAAAAATGATATAATTTCCTTCTATTTTTACCGCTTTTGTAGGGTTTAAGAGTCATAAGTCATAATAAGGAATAAATTAAAGTTCCTTTCTTAAAAATTTAATTTAACCATACGTATATATATAATATATATAAAATTTTCTCTTTAAAAATGAAATGCAATGACCATTTTTCTTATATAGAAAATTCTGCCCTTCTTTCTTTGGCATTGTTTCCACAGATAAGGGTGTTAGTGGAATGGTTTTGGACTGGACAGATTGGACGAACCAACAAGACATATTGGATTGGACCAATCCAGCCTAAATTATTTATTAGATTGGATTGGACCTAGTCCGTCCATAATAAATTTATATTGGATTGGGTTGGATTAAGTCAATATCTAATCCATTGATATAAGATAAGAATATAGGTGTCAATGGACTAGATTTGGATTGAAACCAATCTAAATTAAAATGAATTTGAATAGATTGAACGGTTCAGACATTAAATTGGACCAATCCAAAATGGTCCAAAATATTCATTGAATTGGATTGGACCTGGTCAATTTGTAATGGACTCACATTGGACTGGATTGGATTGGACCAAATCTAGTCCAATTGACACCCCTATCCATAGGGGTGGCAGTGGGCAGGAGCCACTCGTGGCTCTCCATACTGTCACAAGTGACCACTTTGTCGTGCCATCAAGTGCCATCATCACGCCCACATCATGCCATCTGAGTGTCTAAGTGTGTCTTGGGTGGGGTATTGCGTGTATTTTGTATTGGGGAATGGTAATGGCAATATTATAATTCTGTAGTATGATTTTTCACCATTTTGATGTTTCTTTACGTCATTTCCCCAAAAGCTTAACGTACTATTTGAGGGGAGGTAGGTAGTCAAGTGAATTAGTAGCGTGTAAAGGTTAAGCACGAGATCCCCTCAACACTAAACTATGTGCTTGTGCTTGCCACCAATTTATGCAATATAAAGTGCCTTTGGACTAATTCGTGTGCCTTCTTGTTGCCTTTTGTGTGCTATTGCTTGCATTTGTAGGCTTATTTGACCCCATCGAGTGCCGTACAGGCCTCGTTGAATAGCCCCTGTGACAGTTGGTATCATAGCAGGAGCTCATTCCTAGCCATTCGACCCATGACAGGAGCTACACCATGACACACCCGCCGATGACATCAGCAAGGATAAAGCACTAAAGGCTCGAGCACTAAAGCCTATAAAATGCGAGAAATCTACTGACAAGCATGCAGTCGTTGACTTGCGCATGCTACATTGCAAAGCCACTGTAGGTGAGATGCGAGATCAGATAAACAAACTTCACCAACATTTGAAAGCCATGGAGAGTACATTGGTGGAAGTGGAAGGCCTCTTGAGTAGGGTTGTGGATGAGGTCCACGACATACTCAATGGCATGCTCAAGGAAATTTGCAGCACTGCACGCCAACAAGAAGGAAGCTCATCCAACTCGCACATCTAAGACAAGYTTGACAGTTTTCAAGCGCAGCTCGACAAGATGAAGAGGGAATGGGCAGCATGGAGAAGAACCATCTCCACATCAATGGTCGTTCAGGCTGAATTGAATGAGATGAAGATTGAGTGGGCAACTATGAAGTCCGCCCTAAACACCTCTACTCATGTCCAAGCTCAACTTGATGAAATCAAGGGGGAGTGCGCCATAATGAAAAGAGCGATGGCCAACCCGAGCATCACCTCAACTCCGCTCACTCCTTCCTACATCAAGATTCAGGAGCCAACTCCCTATTTGGGCACTCGCGATGCAAGAGAGCTCGATAATTTCTTATGGCAAATGGAACAATACCTGGCAGTAGCTAATGTGGATGACGAAATGATTCAAGTACGTACAACCACTATGCATTTGATTGATATAGCTATGTTGTGGTGGTGCAGAAAATGTGTTGACATGGAACGCGATACGTGTGCCATACATACTAGGGCTGAATTTAAGCGAGAGTTAAAGAGATAGTTTTATCCAAAGAACGTGGAGTTCCATGCCCGTTGAAGGATGAAGACCCTCAAGCACGGCGACTCACTCCACGAGTATGTGAAGGAATTCTTAGCTCTCACATACGAGATCACCGACATGTCAGACAAAGACCTACTATTCAACTTTATGGACGGGCTGACCATCCAGCCTACGTGCTCCAAATTTGAGTGGGGGAGATAGACCACCAAGTCCCTCGAAAGAGAAGCAGCCCTACCACAACTAGCTAGCACAATACTAGAAGGGAAAACAACCACATGGAAGTTGCAGCTCTTACAACCACAAGTACCAAGGGAGACCAAGTCGTACACCCACATACTACATTTGTGGGGAGGAACACCTGACAAGACATTGCCCAAAGCGGGGGAAGCTAAATGCCCTCATTTCCAAGTTGAGTGATGACGAGCAGAGCGATGGGGAGCAGAGTACATAGGCGCCAAGAGTGGGCGCTCTACAACTTGTCATTGCCATGATGAAGAAAGGGGCTACCTCCATACAACCTGCCTTTATTATGAGAGGATTGAGGTATGCTGGTATATGCCTTGGCGAGAGGCCAACTAGGGCCCTATTTGACACAGGAGCCACTCACAATTTCATATCCATTGTAGAGGCCAAAAGACTTAATTTGGTCATCTCCAAAGAGCCAGTTAGCTCAAAGCAGTTAACACAGGTGCCAAACCCACTAAAGGCATGGCTCGCCAAGTGAAACTACAACTCGACACCTGGGATAGGGAGATTGACCTCTCCATTGTTCACATGGATATCTTTGATGTTGTCCTCGGAATGGACTTTATGATACAGGCAAAAGCGGCACCAACACCACATTGACACCCTGATGATCATGGACGAGCAGTCACCTTGCATGGTCAACATGATCGCCACGACCAATACAAAGAAGCAAGTTTTAGCCTTGTAACTCCAGCACCCACCTCAACCTTAAGGGATGACAAAGAGTTCTACAACAACAGCCACCATTATTGCAACCAGAAGTGGTCGTAGAGACTCCAAGAAGAAGTTAGTGCTAGCGCCACCACAACACCAGCAACAACAGTAGAAGCCGTTTGTGCCCGCTTTTCATGGGCACAAGAGAAGACCCAAGGCCTACTCCAACACCAACTTTACCTACCACAATGGGAAGAGAGTGCCACCCACAGCCAATAGGGTCCACTCCAACACTCGGCCTTCATCCAATCCATATAGTAGCCCTATGAGGAGAGAACCTTGGGAAACATCCCTCTACATCCAACACCCTCTTAATTCAAATTCAACTTTTGCACCAACCTTTCCCTTAGCTAGTACCGCAACCTAACATAAGCCACACCGTACTTACTTACAAGCCTGTAGCCAGGGACTTCATATAAAACCCAGCCATGAGTCTTCCCACCATAATCCACACCATCTAGCCTATCACCCGACCGTGTACCTAGGCCTTGGAAGAGATGGTGCAGTTGAAGAACCCTCATTCACCAACAAGAAGTTCAAGCAACAAGCCGAAGCTGGTCTTCGAAGACGAAGGCAAAATTGAATGGGGGAGAATGTCACAAGTGGCCACTTTGCCACGCATCAAGTGCCATTATCACACCCACATCGTGCCATCTGAGTGTTTAAGTATGTCTTGGGTGGGGTATTGCATGCATTTTGTATTGGGGGAATGTCAATGGTAATATTGTAATTCTGTAGTATGGTTTTTCACCATTTTGATGTTTCTTTATGTCACTCTATCAAAAGCTTAACATACTCTTTGGGGGGAGGTAAGTAGTTGAATGAATCGGTAGTGTGTAAAGGTTAAGCACGAGATCCCCTCGACACTAAAATGTATGCTTGTGCTTGTCATCAATTTATGCAATATAAAGTACTTTTTAACTAATTTGTATATCTTCTTGTTGCCTTTTATTGTTTCTTACATTAGTAGGTATAGTCGACCCGATCAAATGCCGCATGGGGCCTCGTTGAATAGCCCTATGACAATACGGTTTACATAAAGCCAGGATTTTGTTTGTCGTTTTGATCAAGTGAAACTCGTCCAGGTAACGAATCACCTCGCTGAGTTAAGTGCGAATCGCTCAGTAAACTCGGTTTGTCCTAACGTGGCGAAAATTACAACGAGATAAATGATAATTTCGAATTCGGGTCACTTCCAACAAAACACATTCCAACTCTTTACCAATATGATCTCACACATCCGGGTCCCAGTTTAATGGTCGGATGTGCGGTGTTCGATCAAATTAGTAGAGGGTTGCAACGTGTAACTCGATAATTTCTCGGTTAACGTACGAATCAAACACAACGGTCCTCACACGTGCCCCACTCCGACCACAGTTTTTGCAGGGGCGTCTCGGGTAATCCCACTTCCGCATTTCCCACTTGGCCACTTCCCTGTACAAAACAAAAAACAAAAAAGAAGAAAAAAAAAGAAAAAAAAAGAAAAAAAAAGAAAAAGAAGCAAAAGAAAAAGAGTAAAAGTGAGGAGAGTAGGTTCTTCGGTATTCCTTTGGATTCATCAGATCTCTTTATTGTTCTCTCTCCCCCCCACCCCTTTCTCTCTGGCTTTCTATGTTCGAATTTGTTTCATATTTAGATTTTAAGAAAAGCGGTTTTCCATTGCTGCAACTTCAAGAACCTTCTTGATCGTAACGATCTAGGGTTTCTAAAGTGAACTCTGTACTCTTCAACAGTCTCTGAGGTACCACTTTCTGCAACCTCATCTAACCCTCTCTCTCTCTGTTCAGGACTTCAATTCGAAAATGTTTGCATTGTTCATTGTAATATCTTCTGCAAGTTTGCTATATGATTAAATGCATGTTGGAGCAATAAATTGAAAATCCGTGTCTTCTTTCCATTCCATACATAGGACAAGAATGTGATGAGGTTTTCGTACTCTGGTTGAAGTTAGAAGCTTACTGGTCTTGTTTCGATTTCAGAAGCTTCTTTGCGTTCAGATCTGCAAGCTTTTGGTATCTTTTTCCTCAGTGTTGCAGAGAAGAGAAGCGTATGTGATTTGATGGATTTATTCGCTTATTCTAGAGTTGCAGTAGATTCTGCATTGAGGATCTTCTGGTTCCTGTTTAAAACTTACGCTTTTCGTTTCGGCTTCTCAGGTTTTCGCTCTGGCGTTTCAAAGGAGGCGCTTAGCTTGATGGTTCTTACATAGTTACATTCTCTTTCCCAGTTTTCCGAGTCTTCCAGCATTCGGAGGCCTAGGGTTTCAAGAAAAGTTGGTGCCTCATCTTCCTCAAGTTTGATTGATTTTTAAAGTCATTGAGCATTTACTAATCCTTGTCATGAGCAACGTTCGAAAGTTCGTGGGTTCTGATAACGTTTTGTATTTGGAAATATTTGATTTTTCAGTTACCGTCTAGTCATCACCAAGCCAGAGGAGACAGACCGTTCTGTTTTTCGGTTTTTCCTTTTGCGAACCTTTGGGATATCTGGAGGTTTCTACCGGCATTTGAAGTTAACACGGCTTTCTAACTCTGTATCCCGAACTCTAGGGTTTCACGATTTTTGAATTTAAATCCCCATTATTTGCTGCACGTTCTATCGTTTCCGCAACTCCTCTTGTTTCTTTCACACCATCATTCATCCAGAAAATGCAGCGACCCCTACCGCCTGAAGAATACTCCCTGAAGGAGACCTCGCCGCACCTCGGCGGGGGAGGGGTAACTGGCGACAAACTCACCAGCACCTATGACCTGGTTGAGCAGATGCAGTACCTGTACGTGCGGGTTGTCAAGGCCAAGGACTTACCTGGAAAAGATGTTACTGGAACTTGTGATCCCTATGTTGAGGTGAAACTCGGAAACTACAAGGGAACAACTCGGCATTTCGAGAAGAAGTCAAATCCTGAGTGGAATCAGGTCTTTGCTTTTTCCAAAGATCGAATCCAGGCTTCTGCACTTGAGGTTGTGGTGAAAGACAAGGATTTTGTGAAGGATGATTTCATGGGCCGAGTTATATTCGACCTCAATGAAGTTCCCAAACGTTTTCCGCCAGATAGCCCATTGGCGCCGCAGTGGTATAGACTGGAAGATCGGAAGGGGGAGAAGGTCAAGGGAGAGGTCATGTTGGCTGTGTGGATGGGTACTCAGGCCGATGAAGCATTTCCTGAGGCATGGCATTCGGATGCTGCCACTGTTAGTAGCGACGGTCTTGCAACTATTCGGTCAAAGGTATATCTCTCTCCGAAGCTTTGGTATCTTAGGGTCAATGTGATTGAAGCTCAGGATTTGCAACCTAGCGACAAAGCCAGGTATCCAGAAGTTTATGTTAAAGCTATTCTCGGTAATCAGGCTTTGAGAACTAGAGTTTCTCAGAGCAAGAGCATTAATCCATTGTGGAACGAAGATTTGATGTTTGTGGCGGCAGAACCATTTGAAGAGCACTTAGTCTTGAGTGTGGAAGATAGAGTGGCACCTAACAAGGATGAAATTTTGGGGAAGTGTGTTATTCCTTTACAGTATGTAGATAGAAGATTGGACTATAAGCCTGTCAACACTAGGTGGTTTAACCTTGAGAAGCATGTGGTAGTTGCAGAGGGAGAGCAGAAAAAGAAGGATACCAAGTTTTCTAGTAGGATTCATCTAAGGATCTGTTTGGAAGGTGGTTATCATGTTCTCGATGAATCAACACACTACAGTAGTGATCTCAGGCCAACAGGAAAGCAGTTGTGGAAGCCTAGCATTGGGGTTTTGGAATTGGGAATTTTGAGTGCACAGGGGTTGATGCCAATGAAAACCAAGGATGGACGGGGGACTACTGATGCCTATTGTGTGGCGAAATATGGTCAGAAATGGGTCCGGACAAGGACAATTATAGATAGCTTTACTCCAAGGTGGAATGAACAATACACATGGGAGGTTTTTGATCCCTGCACTGTCATTACGATTGGTGTATTTGATAATTGTCACTTGCAGGGTGGAGATAAAGCTGGAGGGGCGAAGGATTCAAGAATTGGAAAGGTGAGGATTCGACTCTCCACGCTTGAAACTGATCGAGTATACACCCACTCATATCCCCTCCTGGTTCTACATTCGTCTGGGGTGAAGAAGATGGGTGAAGTTCAATTGGCTGTGCGGTTTACATGCTCGTCTTTGCTTAATATGATGCATATTTACTCACAGCCACTGTTACCAAAAATGCATTATCTTCATCCTCTATCTGTTATGCAACTTGATAGCTTGAGGCACCAGGCCACTCAAATAGTTTCTATGAGGTTGAGCCGTGCAGAACCACCACTGCGGAAGGAGGTTGTGGAGTATATGCTGGATGTGGATTCACATATGTGGAGTATGAGGAGAAGCAAAGCTAATTTTTTCCGGATTATGGGAGTCCTGAGTGGGCTGATTGCAGTTGGGAGATGGTTTGATCAGATATGCAATTGGAAAAATCCTCTTACAACAATTCTGATCCACATTCTCTTCTTAATACTGGTCCTCTATCCAGAGCTGATACTGCCTACCATTTTTCTCTACCTCTTCTTGATTGGGGTTTGGTACTTCCGATGGAGGCCAAGAAATCCACCTCACATGGATACTCGTCTCTCTCATGCTGAGAATGCACATCCTGATGAATTGGATGAAGAGTTTGATACATTTCCAACTTCCAGGCCGGCTGATATTGTGAGGATGAGGTATGATCGTTTGAGAAGTGTGGCAGGGAGGATACAGACGGTGGTTGGTGACTTGGCAACACAGGGGGAGAGGTTGCAGTCTCTTCTGAGCTGGAGGGATCCTAGAGCCACAGCACTTTTTGTGACCTTCTGTTTGATTGCTGCAATAGTGCTTTATGTGACACCATTCCGTGTCGTGGCCCTTCTCACAGGCATTTATGTGTTGAGGCATCCGAGGTTCAGGCACAGGCTTCCTTCGGTGCCACTCAACTTCTTCAGGAGGTTGCCGGCAAGAACTGACAGCATGCTATGAAAAAACAACTTGTTGAGCTGTTATTTGCCTCAGTCTCAAACGGGCTCCCAGCTAGTCTCTCACCTCATACTACAGGTGCATGTGGTAATGGATGGGGCTTGTCTTATTTTTATTTTTAATTGATGGTGGGTGTTGGGTTATTTGGTATCATGTGTAATTTTTCCTCCTATGTATTGGCTTGGTAGTTGTCATGAATCTGCACTTTTAATTATGTTGTTTCTGTTTTAAACTGTCCTTTCCATTGGAAATCAATGCATGTTGATCTGTAGGTTTTGATCCAAATTCAGTCCATTGCCACCAACTTTCTAGATATGGCAATACCCCAATACTGTTATTGCCTGTAGCTTGTAAACGGTATGCTTCAACATTTGTCTATTTCTTCTGAATGGGTAGGTTGGCTATGGGTTTCGATCCTGGTATCTCAACGTGTCCCCTCTTCCCTCTCAATCTATTGTGAATTTTGATTTTGAATTGAATTGAATTCCATCCATTTACTGAACAAATCTTTTTTTTTTTTGGAACAAATCGATATGGAGAAGTGTGTCTTTACAGATCAAAACCCATAATGAAGGACAGATCAAACCGACCATCTTTTGTATTTTGTACATATACTCGTGATGGGTATATTCAGTGGTTCTAGTGGGAATACTAATTTATCTATTTAATTCTTAAATGTATTGAACAGTTAAACCAGTGCATGTGTGGCAATTATTTGTTAAATCATAATACGACACACGTTTGTTCAAAAAAGAAAAGAAAAAAAATACGACACAGATGCTGGCGCACCGGAGCAGACATGAGTTGGTGAGTATATTCCATGATGTAAACATAGTCTTCTATATATTGATAAAGACAAGCTTTTTGTTTTCTTGTCCAGCTTTTCTGTATTGTTTAATGCTTTGCTTAGGAGTTTGATCTTTATCTTTTTAATTAACAATAGATTAAGTGATGGAGATAGACAGATCCGGGCCCGCGTTTCTGGCTAAGCTGGTTTTAAAAATAATACAAGGTTAGCGTTTCCCTGTTCTGTGTTTTGTTGTCTAATGGCTTCTATATATATATATATATATTTTGTGTATGAATATAAAATATAAATTAAGAGCAGAGAGAGGGGGGAGGTGGCTGGCTGCTTTGCCTTTTTTGTTTTTAAAATTATTATATTCTCAGCCTCTCGGGGTTTTTATACGGCTTCCCCATGGATTAGGGGAAAAAATTACCTGTGATGCCACTTTGAAAGCTCTGCCACTGCCACGTGACTTGTTGGAACTTTGGAAGTACACTTGGAAATCACATAATCGCCCTCGCTTAGGCCAGAACTACTAGTGTCATCATCTATTTCTCTGGTGGGTTTGGAAAAGCTTGGTTGAAAGTTGAAACTTGAAATCCGTCCATGCGACTCATCAGTCATCTACACCAGCTATTTTGTTATTGTACCAGGGGCTGAGGAAGCGGCCGGAATTACCTTCCACTCTTACCTGAATCTGACTGCCAGTACGGGGCACTCATACTGCAGGCCTGGCAAACGGGGTGGTTCACTCTTCACTGAACTGTTGGGTCTCCTTTTTCTTCCTTTTGCCTTTTATTTTATTTGAACGTTTTTTTTTCCCTGGGATGTTAATTCATGAAAACCGAGGCCTAAACTTGTTTCAGAATCTGGGTTACTTGATAAATTGAAGCCAGTAAACCACACCAAGAAAAACATCAGCAAAACAGACACAGAATGGGACCCATGAAGAGGGAAAACAGTTTCTAGATTGATGAGGTTGTGAAATATCAATTCTTGAACCAAGGGGAATTTTTTGAATTTGGAAATGGCTTGGCTCTGGTTGTCTGGTGAAGTTTTACGCATTTCAACTTCTGAAATGGCAGAGCTCAAAAAATCAATGGTATTGGCCAACACGCCATCTGTGAAGGTTTTGGTAAGAGTATATGAAAAGCCTCTCCGGATGGGGCCGTGTTTGGAAGAGGTTTAATTTGAGGAATGGATCCTAATTCTTACATTTACGTTCAATGTTGTTTCCTGCAAAATTGTTTAGTATCGGCAGTCAACTAAGCATGTTTGGCACGCCCCAAATGCTTTTATAAGAAGCGAAAGCGATTGATGGCACTAAACGAAGCAAGCTCCTCTGGTTCTGGTTCAGGAGAGCTGCTGCCGAAAGAAATCTCAACAGCCCTGTATCACTCACTGTATGGGGTCCATGAACATGAAGTGAGTGTGGGTCCTCACAGTCTTAGAGCATCTCGTTGAACCAAACACTGCGCCAGAGGAGTTTTGTTCACATGTGTTGGGGCCCTCTTGCCCACAATCTACACTTGGTGCTGCTGCACAGAAGCTCGTGATGGAGCTTCCAATTTCAATTGGGTAAAACAAAGAAAAAGCGGATGCTTTCTTGGTTGGTTAGGTTTCAAATCCTACGAGGGTGAGGGTTCCCCTAAAAGCTGCCTCCCCTCAAGGCCCCTAGGATTCCTGGGTTCTTTTCCCTGTTTCTTCTTTTCCTTTTTGTAGTCCTTATCTTTGTGAGCAACAGTCAGGACAACTGAAATACAGAGACCTACCTAAAAAAGTAAAAGAGTGAAATCATTGATAATTGAAGGCAGATCACATATTATATTGTCCAGGGGGATGGTGAACCATTTTATAATTGGCTAATACATGATTGTCAGAAACGGATTGGACCGGATGGTCAGACCACTAGACCAGGAACGGCTGTCAAATTGGTATTTTGGTTTGCCCATTTTATAGATGGTTAAAATTACACCATTTATATGTTCATATGGTCAGACAACTAGACCAGGAACGGCTGTCAAATTGGTATTTTGGTTTGCCCATTTTATAGATGGTTAAAATTACTCCATTTATATGTTTAATATATTGCTAATGTATTGAACCGTCATCCACTCCCAATCAGGCAGTCACCAAGGCGGTTCTGTCTGGTTGGGATTTGACAACATTGGGCTAGCGTACCCAACCAGCAGGAGTCGAGTTTCAGTCCATCCCCACTTTGTTTCTTTTGATAGCTAAGTAGGTGTTTGGCATCGGTGCTGGGAACATTGCATCATTTTTTGAGAAAAACGGTGTTAGGCATGTGAAGTTATAAGTAGGTATTTAGAACCTGTGCTGTCATATAGGTATTTTTCTGAGAAAACAACACTGGTTTTGTTTAATACCAATGCTGGCAGTAACGTTTTCAACATTGATTTTGTTATCAAACATCCAAGATTATGCCACATTGATGCCATGTTATTGCATCGTTGGCAGTAATGTACCATTTTCTTAGAAATCATCAAATTTGATGTTGCTCCAGACCACACTTTCCCGATTTCCAAGATGTGGTCTAGAGCAACGTTTTTTTTTCTAAAAAAACGGTACCAAACAAGAAGGCATTGCTTCTAGCACTGTTTTCTCTGACGTGATACCTATATGGTACTATTTTCTCAAAAAAAAAATGGCACTGATGCCAAACACTGCTTAAGTTTATCCCCAGTTGCTCCTCCCCATATGACACACTGATTCATGCAGCTGTCCAGTATATGTGATGGGCCTTGATCAAGTACCTAGGAAAAGGAAAGTGGCTGATATTTCTGGACAGAGCCATAAAATTTGCCAATCCATGAGCACATCACACACCTTTTCAGAGTTTCAATCAGAGATCGGATTTATTCCTCACAAAATTCGTCCTCACACCCATTTTATACCCTTGCGTCCATGCATTAGGAACATCCTATCATGAATAAAAACATACAAGTATATAGATGTCCACATGTGTGGTTGTAAGGGCTGTGGAGACCAATTTTGTGAGGAGGAATCTAAGGTTTATTTGGTTTACAGTTGGAATGGGAAGAAAAAATCTTTAGAATCAGAATTGGAATGATTTATTCATATAGTCTATTTGGTTCAAACAGGAATGAGAATGAAAATTGGAATAAACAGGAATAGGATTCCATTCCCAAGGAAAGGAGAGGAAATGGCCATTCCCTCAAATAGGGGAATGCCATTCCACTGGGGATGGGAATGAGATTTCGATTCCACCCAACCAAACAATTGGAATTGGAATAGCCTATTCCATTCCAATTTCGGCCCCTATCCCCATGAACCAAACGGGGTTTAAACTCTTTCAATCAATTTTGAAACTCATTGAGGGAAGTAGGTGATGGCTTGGGATCTTAGTGAGTCTGGATTAACTGCACTTGACAGATGTGTTAGGGCATCAAGTGAGTGCAGCTAATCCAGATTGTTCACCGGCAATCCAGTGCAATCAATGCGGGGTTTAGGGAGGAATAGACATACAGTTTTACCCCTGCAGATGCCCACCCTGAATCCAGTTATCCAGATTGTCTAGTCACAGAGTAGGAATTTTAATTTCTTAACCAAATGCCACTGACTTGGCCTAGATAACTGTTTGATTTTAAATGATGGCTGTGCAAATGTTGTAGCTCTACCCAAGCTCCATTGACTATTAGATATATAGATGGACAGGTCATCTTGATCTTTTCTAGCTGGCTATTGCAGCCAAGATCTTTGTTTCTTTAGGAATAAAGAGGAGGACAACTGGACAATTATGCGCAAATCTTGGATTTGCTTCTTTCTTTTCTTCTTCTTCTTCTTTCTTTTTATTATTAGTTCTGAGATACATCCGATTAGATAATGATGAAAGCAAATGACCGAAAACAATGGGTCCAAACCTGGCTTGCTATAAATCACTGACCCCACAGAGGACGAGCCCATCCATACTGTTTTAATGCAGAATTATGATGTGGCAACTGTGAAAACAATGCAACCAAATTGCTATTTGAAGCAATTTTGTCCTGGCCCTGCCTCAATTATTTGAAGCAATTGTTAATGTGGGCTTGTTTGTCGTGTATCTATGATATTTTCTTCTGTAAGAGAATGGACCAGTTTCAGTTTTGTTTTGTAAATAGGATATGAACAAGGTAGCTCCTGGCTCAGGGAGTCAAATCCTTTTCGGAGGAAGTTTTCATGACTTGATTATAGACTCAGGAATGAGAAAAACACCCATCTCATTGGTTCAGCCCTGTCCAAAAGGTCCAATCCAATCCGATGTATATTTTGGATCATTTTCTGGACTGGTCCAATGCAATACTTAGACCGTTCAAATTGTTCAAATTGCTTTTAATTTAGATTGGGTCCAACCCAAACCTGGTCTCTTGACATCCGTACTCTTATTGATATTGATTCAATCTGACCCAATCCAATATAAATTTATTACAAATGGATCAGGTCCAATCCAATCCAATGGATATTTTGAACTATAAAGTTTGGACTGGTCCAATTCAATATGTCTTATTGGTCCATCCAGTGTGTTTAAATTGATTTTGATTTGAATGACTCCAACCCAAACCCAGTCCATTGACACCCCTATGTTCTCCCTACTTGAACAGCGGAATAGATTAGTTGATT